CTCAAACTCTTCTAGAAAAAGGGAATCTTCCAAACTCATTCTATAAAACCAGCATTACCCTGATATCTAAATCAGACAAAGACATAGGAAAACAAGAAAACTATAGGCCAATATCTCTAATAAACAAAGATGCAAAAATCATCAACAAAATAGTAGTAAACAGAATTCAGCAACACATTAAAAAGATCATTCACCATGATCAACAAGGATTCATCCCAGAGATGCAAGGATGGTTCAACATACACAAATCAATAAATGTCATATGTCACATGACAAAATCAAGGACCAAAACATATAATTTCCATAATGCTAAAAAAAGCATTCAATAAAATTCAACATCCTCATGATAAAAAAAAAACAAACTCTCAACAAATCGAGTATAGTAGGAACATACCTCAACATGACAAAAGCCATATATGATAAACCTATGGCTAACATCACACTGAATGGGAATAAACTGAAAGCCTTTCCACTAAGGTCGGGAACAAGACAAGGTTGACCACTTTCACCACTTTTATTCAACATAGTACTGGAAGTCCTACCCAAGGCAATTAGGCAAGAGAAAGAAATAAAGGGCAACTAAACTGGAAAAGAAGAAGTCAGATTATCCTTGTTTGCAGACAACATGATTTTATATTTGGAAAAACCTAAAGACTCCAACCAAAAAACTCTTAGACCTGATAAATGAATTTAATAAAGTTGCAGGATACAAAAACAACACATGGAAATCAGCAGCATTTCTACATGTTAACAACGACCAATCTGAAAAAGAAATCAAGAAAGTAATCCCATTTATAAGGGTTACAAATAAAATGCCTAGGAATAAATTTTAACCAAGGTGAAAGATCTCTAAGAAAAATGATAAAACATTGATGAAAGAAATTGGAAAAGACACACAAAAAATGGAAAAATATACCATATTCATGGATTGAAAAAATTAATATTGTTAAAATGCTCATACTACACAAAGCGATTTACAGATTCATTGCAATCCCTATCAAAATATCAATGACATTCTTTACAGAAACAGGAAAAAAAAAAAACCCCAAAATCTGTATGGAACCACAAAAGACCCTGAACAGCCAAAGCAATCCTGAGCAAAAATAGAACAAAGCTGAAAGCATCATACTACCTGATTTCAAAGTATACTGAAAAACTATAGTAACCCAACAGCATGGTACTGGCATAAAAGGAGATACAAAGACCAGTGAAACAAAACAGAGAACCCAAATACATATCCATGCACTTATAGTTAACTCATTTTTGATAAAGGTTCTAAGAACATATACTGGGGAAAACACAGTCTCTTTAATAAATGTTGCTGGAAAAACTAGATATCCATATGCAGAAGAATGAAACTAAATCCCCATTTTCTACCACATAAAAAAAAAGACTCAAAATAGATTAAAGATTTAAATTAAGACCAAAAACTATAAAACTACCAGAATAAAACATTGAGGAAATGCTACAGGACATTGGTTTGGGCAAATTTTTTGTTTGGGTCAGACCACAAAAGCACAAGCAATAAAAGCAAAAATAGACAAATGGGATTACATCAAGCAGAAAAGCTTCTGTACAATAAAGGAAACAACAAAGTGAAGAGATAGCCTACAGAATGGGAAGAAACATTTGCAAATTATTTTGACAAGGGATTAATAACCAGAATATATAAGGAATTCAAACAACTCAATAGCAAAAACCAAACAAACAAAAATCCAAATAATCCATTAGAAAATGGGCAAAAGATTGTATAGACATTTCTCAAAAGAAGACATAAAAATGGCTAAAAAAATATGTGAAAGAAAAAATGGTTACTTCATTAATCATCAGGGAAATGCAAATCAAATCACAATGGAACATAATTTCACTTAGTTAAAATGGCTTCTATTAAAAGACAGGGAGTAACAAATGCTGGTGAGAATATGGAGAAAGGGGAAGCCTTATACACTGTATGAAAAACAGTAACGAGGTTCCTCATAAAATTAAAAATAAAACTACCACATGATTCAGCAATCCCACTGCTGGGTATACATCCAAAGGAACTGAAATCAGTATTATCGAAGAGATATCTGAACTCCTATGCTTACTGTGGTACTATTCACAATAGCTAAGATATGTACTCAACCCAAGTGACCATCAATGGATTAAAATAATATGGTGTATACACACTATGGAATATCATTCAGCCAAAAAATAGTATCAAATCCTCTCATTTATAGTAACATGGCTAGAACTAGAGTTTACCATGTGACATAAGCCAGGACTACAAATTCAAGTATCAAATGTTCTCACTCATATGTGAGAGCTTAAAAAAGCACACCTCATGGAGGTAGAGTATAGAATGGTGGTTACCAGAGGCAGGGAAAAGGGAGACGGGAAGGGATAAAAAGACATTGTTTAATGGGTACAAAAATACAGTTAGATAAAAGGAGTAAGTTCCAGCATTTGATAATATAGTAGGAAAATAATAGTTAACAGTAATTTATTGTACGTTTCAAAATAACTAGAAGAGATCTAATATTTCCAACACAAAGAAAAGATAAATGTTTGAGTTGGAGAACCCAATCACTCTGATTTGATCATGACATGCTGTACACATGTATCAAATATCACATGTAAAATATGTACGACTAGGATATATTAATAAAAAACCCCCACAACAACAAAACCCTCTAAAACTATATCCACAGAATAAAACTTTTTGAAAGAGTTTTAAGAAAATGTTTTTCAAAAGGTGAAATTAATGTTCTGCCAAGTAGAGGTCTTTATGTCTGTAACTGCAGCTGAAAACACTTTTGTTTTGTGAAAGCAACAGCAGATTCCTTTTGCAACAGAACTGAACATTTGGTGGACAGTGCTTGTTAAGAACAAAAGACTTAAACACTCTAGCTATGTTTAGTAATGCTCTGCTCAAATATTATTCCTAAATGTTCATTTACCTGAGTTATTTTTGGTTAAATATGCTTTACAAAGTATATTTCTAAAGTCAGTTAAAACTTTATAAAGTTAATTCCATAAATCTGTGTTTTGAAATAAACCACAGAAACAGAATGCTAACTATAGCAATGTTTTCTGCTTTAAGGCAATTATGAAAATAGCTATCCAATAAAAGACTGCTGAGGTCTGAATGTGTCACGCCAAGTTCATGTGTTGGAAACTTAATCCCTAATGCAACAGTGCTAAAAGGTGGGACATTTCAGAGGTGATTAACTTATCTGCTCTCATAAATAAGTTGATGTCATTATCACAGGATGGGTTAGTTATCGAGAGGGCTTGTTATAAAAGTGAGTTCAGCCAGGCCTGGTGGCTCATGCCCATAATCCCAGCACTTTGGGAGGCCTAGGCGGGCAGATCACCTGAGGTTGGGAGTTCGAGACCAGCCTGACCAACACAGACAATCCCCGTCTCTACTAAAAATACAAAAATCAACCAGGTATGGTGGTGCATGCCTGTAATCCCAGCTACTCGGGAGGCCGAGGCAGGAGAATCACTTGAATCTGGGAGGTGGAAGTTGCGGTGAGCCAAGATCATGCCACTGCACTCTAGGCTAGGCAACAAGAGCAAAATTCGGTCTCAAAAAAAAAGGAAAGTGAGTTCAGCTCCCCCTTGCTCTCTCCCTCTCGCCCTACAACGTAGGATGATGATGCAAGAAGGCCCTTGCCAGAGACTGACACCTTGATACTAGACTTTGCAGCCTCTAGAGCTATGAGGAAACGCATTCCTATTCTTTGTAAATTACCCAGTCTCAGGTATTCTATTGTAGCAGTATAAACCAACTAAGACAAACATCTACCTGCAAAAAAATACCTTGGATTAGGGCTAACTTTGATTTTCGAACAAGGTACCAAATGTGTCTTTTGAATTTTATTTATAATTTCTCCTTAAGATAATGACATTTCAATGCTGACTTCAACAGCTAGCAATGCATAATAAAAATCCACAATATAATCTAAATTATTTTTCCCTAATATCTGTCCATGTACATGCTATCTAAGAATTAGCCAGGAAACCTTGGTAATTTTTTTTAACTTTCTGCTTTTCCATTTTAAATTACAAAATGTCTTCAGGTAATTCTGCAAGTATGCTCAGGTGGGAATTTACTGAGCACCTACTCCGGGCCAGGCACCATTCCAGCCTCTTCACAAACATTCACTTGTTTAGTCCTCATAGGACTATAACTATAGGAAATAGGGAGAAGGGGTTTGTGGTAGGCAGAAGAACGGCCCCACAAAGATGCCCTATGGCAAGAGAGTCTACTATCCTAGATTACCCAAGTCAGACCGATGTAATCACTCTATTCCCCAGGGGGAGGGAGGAGTGTCACAGTGATTTGGAAGACAACTGAGAAGAGGGAAGGTAATCTGGGGCTAGCAAGGTGGCTGTGCACGTGCAATAGGATCTTCCCTGGAAGCCCCTACATCTTCAGAAAAGTTATTCAACTCCTAAGATGCTGTGTGCGACTGGCTTTGGATCCAATCCAACAGCGATGAGGTTAAGTTTCCTCTTGAGTCTAACATGCTATAGAACCGAGGGAACATGAACAAATAATGAGTGCACAGACAAACAAGTGTCCTATGAAGAAATATAACAACAAATATGCAATATAGTCAAAATTCAACTTATATATTGTTAAACAAAACTTACAGGAGACTACTGTTTTGGACCAAACTCCTCCATTAGGCCACAACAAAATGGAGTCAGTCACATTAAATGCCATATAATCAAACTGAACCTTTATTTATTTTTATTTTTTTTGAGATGGAGTCTCCCTCTTCTTTCCCAACTGGAGTGCAGTGGCATGATCTCGGCTCACTGCAACCTCCACCTCTTGGGTTCAAGCGATTCTCTTGCCTCACCCTCCTGAGTAACTGGGATTACAGGCACATGCCACCATGCCTGGCTAATTTTTCTATTTGCAGTAGAGATGTGGTTCTTATTTAACAATGATGTCTCCTAACGAGATTCACTGTGTTTTAAAAGCACAGCTAATTTTAACTTACCTCCTCCTGATAAGCCAGTCCAGCCTCATACAGTTTAATAAAGAGATACTGAGTCCACTTGTAGTAATCTGGCAAACACGTAGTTATTTCCTGCCAACAACGACAAAAAAATCATGTATAGACCATTATACACATCCCCCAGCCATGCATACATCAGCCTTGCAACTTTCTAAAAGTAATGAAATCACAAAAATATTTACCAGCTCAAAATATTTTCACCAGTTTGTAAAGTAAGGGGAGCTGCAATGTATTCTAGAAAGAGATCTTATTGAAATGCTGCCTACACCTACCTGAGGGCATGTTCAGAAACTCAGCTTCAAGTCTATGTACACCTTCTGCCCACTCATCCATGGCACTAAGAAGTGAACTACATTGTTCAAAATTGGGTATTAACATTTTTTTTCAGCACAAACATACATTGGGGGCCTGATGCTTATCACAAATGTAGCTCACTTTGAAGGCAATCACAAAATTCAAGAGGAATATTTGCCTGCCTCAGTATGATCCTCATTTGAAAATAAATCTTGTGTTTCCACATATAACTGGAGCCTAATGGCTTCTTTAGACTCCGTATACTCCATTTTTTCCATTATGTGAATCAGGCTGTTGTCTACTTAGGAAGAACAATTATAAACATTAAACTTAGTAAGAGACCACTTGGTTTGTATTTCCAAGCCTAAATCTAAACAGAATTTACGGTTGTGAAGTTAAATAAGCATAAAACCTCTACACTATCGCACATTTCTTTTCTAGTGCTCTTTAACTTCAAAAACTGGCTAATGCAGAAATGAATGATGGCAGGGGATATTGCAAATGATTCCATTTGTAACAGACATTTTTTTAATTTTATTTTTAAGAGACAGGAGTCTTGCTCTGTCACCAACGCTGAAGTGCAGTGGTGTGATCATGCCTCACAGTAGTCTCGAACCCCTGGGCTCAAGTGATCCACCCTCCTCAGCCTCCCCAGTAGCTGGGACTACAGGTATGTGCCACCACACCTGGTAATAAACTTTTGATAGAATGCATACCTTTACCAAAAGTGCAAACAACTCAATCTTCCTTAAGGTGTGGGTGGGAGGGCATGTGGTAGGAACTAAGCAAGGTGTCAGGTAAACATCTGTGTCCCCAGTAGGCTGTTTTTGTTACGTAAGATGCCTGAGTCCTTTTGTGTGCTGTTTTATAAAAATAGCACAGTAATAACTATTAGAAAATAATTATTTTAAAGGGAAAACAACTCAACTCTGACTATTGGCTCTACCTTCCCACTTTGAGGCAATTAGTAAGCCACCAGTGAGTCAAAGGGCTTTGCCCACATTGTAGCTGCCCACCTAGGCCAGCCTCCACAACAGCAGAGCCATAATTTCTCAGCCACGCATACGACGCAGCCTGCTCTGGCTTCCAGCAACTTCAGAGATGTCTACAGGTGCGTCGTGCACAAAGATCTTCACCAACTCAAGAACCTAATCAGCACTCTGCCAATGGGCTTGTTCCCCCAAACCTCCAAATTCATCCTCATCCATCATCTTTTCCTCCCCATCTACCCTTCCAGCTAGCAGCGCACAGAACTTATTCTCAGTTTTTTAGATAAGAAACTTAAAAACTTCCATTGTTAACAAAACCCGGGTCGGGAAGCTATGTTTGGTCTGTTTCATTTTGCTCATTGTTGTATGCTCAGATCCTGGCACGAGGCTCCCAAAATTACTGTAGAAGGAAGAATAAACTAGATATACACATGAACTACCGCACATGAATCAAATTTGATTCCTTCATGTAGGTTTCACAACAAAATTCAAATTATTACACTGTGGTCCACAAGACGAACTGGGGTAGGAGGTATGGGTGAGGGGTGGAGGTAGTATGGTAAAAATATGCTCAGACTGGGTTATCTTTTATTTTTTACTTTTAAAAAAACCTTTACCCACTAGCAGTTTTAAAAAAGTATGTGAAACTTTTGAGAAAATAATGACAATTGTTAAATCTAAGGGATAGAGGCTCAATATTTTCTTTTCTCTATTTTTCTATTATTTGAGTTGTTCATAATAAAATATCAAAATACTTTTAGTAAATATATAACACATAATATATATTATGTATGTAACATATATACAACATATTTTATATATACGCACATAGATAAACTATATAAGTATGTGTTTTCCCCTAAGCCCGTGAATCTGCTTCCACAGGATGAGAGTAAAAACGACCCAGCAGTGAGATAGCATTGCTATCGTCATCCAGGTTTATGGTTTTGAAAATCACTTTTACCGAAAGTAGAAAAAAAGAGGATAGATCTAGTCAGGAAAAGCAATGATCTTCATCTAACCAAGCGTTAGCCTACTTTCAGTCAAACCTGTAATGAAAGGGCATTCTCTTTGGAAGTGTCAGCTCCGAGGTAAAGGGAGGGGTGGGGAATTACAGGCCTCTGCTTTCACCCTGGCTTCAAATTTGGGTCTGACCTATTTTATTTATATTACATTTCTGCACGTCATTTGAAGAAAAAGCAACCTCCTTGACTGCTAAAAGAGTACATACAGCTTGAAAACCATTGCCCCAGGACCCTTATTCCAGTCACTGGCAGTTCTATTTCCAGGCATATTTACAGCACTCTGAATCAAGTTCCATCAAACTGAAGTGTGTGACTCACCTGCCCACAGGAGGCTGGGAGTGCCCTGAGGAAGACACTATGCTCCTGTCCCTTTTTATTCCCATCTGCTGCACACAGGGCCCAGGCACTGACTGACCCTTAGCAATGTCCACTCCATGAAGAAATGCCAGAACAGACACTCGCAAGGCTCACCAGGAGTTCAGTCTCACAAGGATCACAAACATGGCTGGATCACTCCAGCAGAAGTTCTAAAAACCTCCTTACATTAGCCCACAGTCTTAAAGAAAGTAGGGGTTTCTTCCAAAATAAAAGTCCGTGCTCCCTCACCTGCACCAAATTTCCAGCTCTCTAAAATCCCCTCCCACAATATGGGAGCTCCCTCCGGGATTTTCCCTCTAAAATCCCCTTCCACATTCTTCGTAAAAGCCTTTTCTCTTCTCCTTTCCTTCTCTTTTCTCTACCCAAATAAAATCACCTTTCTGCAACACTTTTTAAGTCCAATACTTGCTTTTCAAGCATACAATCCACCTGCAGTGGCCCCACCGTTCATTCCTTAAAAAGTTAAAAGCCAAAAACCCACGATAATCACCAGCATCCAACAAAAAAAAATATGGTTGCAACACCACTCAGAAATGCATCTCCCGAAAGTCATAGGGCCCTCCAGAACCTTCCCAGATTTGTTTATTAAAACAAAGCAAAACAAAAATAGCTATTTTGAGTCTTCTAATGCTTTATATCTCAATCAAAATCACCCAAACCATCATTCTGAAATTAAACTGTTGAAAAGCTTTTATTTTAGTCAACTGGCTAGAAATCAAGAGTCTATTTTCACATTTTCCCCGGGAAGTGCCTATTCAAAACCCAATTCTGTAGAGTCTTCTAGGGGTTTCAGTATCCACAGACGTGATGTTAATAGTCCTTTCTTCCCCTCTCTAAAGCAAGAGTGCTCAACCGGGAAAATTTCATTCCCCAGACACCAAATGCAATGGCTGCAGACATTTTTGTTTGTCACAACTGGGTGTGTGTATGTTGTGAGTGTGCTACTGGCATCTAGTGGATAGAGGCCAGGGATGCTGCTTAAAAACCCTACGATGAACAGGACAGTACCCAGAACAAACAAACGAAAAATAACCCAGTCCCAAATGTCAATCAATAGCACCAAGGTGGAGAAACCCCAATCTGTGAGTTCAGATTTCTTCAGTTTGAGTCTATAATCACAGGCTGATTGAAGAAGAATCACTCAAACAACTCTCTAGTTTCCATTCTATGCATATTGATAACATGTTAAACATCAATGAGCAAAAGTGGAAACATGGAGGCGGTGAAGTGGGTTTCCCTCCTGCATTGGCGGTAGCCCCACCTCTGTTGACCATGACTCACAATGCACACAGGAAGGCTGCATGATGTGACCACCAACTCGGAGACCAACTAGAGGAGAGACACGTCAAGTCTGGGGTTGCAGGCAGAGAAAATTCTGAAACTCTTATCATGTGTGCTTAATGCTATTCACTGGTAATAAATGATTGATTTCACTATCTAAATTTTAGATCATTTAATATGTCTCCAAATAGTTGTCTGACTTGGAAAATCTATATAATACATTTCCTATTTTGAAGTTAGAGATGCATACAGTTTTTCTCAATACAACACGAGTTTGAAATAGTTGTTGAACAAATGTTTAAAGATCATCCATGAGAATCTGCCCCACAGTACCCAAATTCCAGACAGAACCCTGCCTGCAACTCTAAGGGGGAACCCTGTGTCTGTGGGGTGGGGCTTCCTGTTGCTCACATCTGCCCACAAGCTGTGGGATAGCATCAACTGGTAAGACTTCTTAGGGAGACCACCACAGAAGTGAAATAAGGGCGGCTTTTCCTTTGGTCTGCTTTCCAAATAAGCCAACACCTATGTTAATGCACCATTGTTTTTAATACACAGTCAGGCAATTCGAAGTTATAGCTACAAAAGCATTGGCAATTCAGCCACACTCCACATAGATCTACATAAAAGTGTCAACTTTTATATCTTCCTGTACTCCAGAAAGTGCAGTCTAGCTGCCAAGAGACCAAATTTATGAATCTTGGATCCCAATTAGAATTGTTCCTCCAAGTTGTATTTTAACATTCTATAGTACCTGGTTTTTGACATTAAAAATATTCTGCACATTCACAAGCAACCACAGAGCCCAACACAAAACCTGAGCTCTCTCAGAACACAAGTGAGGCTCAAAACATCATCTTTTGAGACCTGCCACCCATACCTCAATGACTTTGCACAAATCAACAACTAAGCCAGTCTGGCCAGCAGCTCATGAGACACAGCGATCCATCAATGATAAAGTCCAAGAAGGCTGAGCCACGGAGGCCTAACTTACTGCTCCTGATACAAAATAACACTTGGTCTGTGAAGGAAGAATCACAGCACTCAGCCATGTACCTCACTGAAGTCTCCTCAGGCTCACACTCCTTGCTCTAGGAAAAGAGCC